TTGATAAATGACATGAGTTCCATCTCCTCTGTAGGACGCAGCATTACTCTTTAGGGACAGACTCTGCTAAAAAACAAACAAATCAAGACAAGGAGAGTGGCAGATACTGGAGTTAAAAGTTGACATGAATCATTTCAAAAGAGTGGATGGCCGTGGATTTTCACTCTGTAGTGCAGTACTGTCTTTTGGCTCAGAGTCGAAGCACTGGCCGCTTCTGCTGGATCACAGATTTTAGCAGCAGCTTTTCAGCTTTCAGAAGTCCATTGAACTGACACATTCTTAATAAAAAGCATCCAAAGCCCAGAGCAGAACCCCTTTCTCTTTCCTGACACTGCACCACTAGTATCTAACAGGGTATTATGGCACAGGCTGACAGAACTTGAATCATTAAAAGCACAAATTTGAGTTTTCTTGGCTAATTGGTCATGGGAGGGAGCCTATTAGAGAGGGAATTAAGACCTTTAACAGAGGAAAGTTAAACCTAAAATACTGAGAAATATTTCTGATCTGCACATAAAGAAAACCTAACCAAATCAGAATATGTAAAAGACTAGCTTAAATTGATATGATAAAAATGCTTTCCTTTTTTTTTAAATTTTGGTGTTCCTTCCAGACATATTTGTAGGCATGTTAAGGTGATTTTTCATGAAGGATGAAGCAAAGACAAATTTAACTCAATGCCACGCACAGAAACACAGATTTGGCCCGAAGGCATAGCAGTCTCCTTCACTATCAGGTGTTACTAATCCTCAACGTCCAACATGTCAGTGAATTTCTAGGCTCTTTGTTACTGGCGCAAGTTGGACAGGACTGGCCTTGCAGCAATGGTTCCAATGTGCTCTCTGAAACCCAGCATTTTGGACTAACATTTCTCTGCCTTTCTCTTCTTCCCTGCCTCATACAAGTGTATGTGCACCTGCAGGAAGTCCCCGGGTGGTATAAACGGTCAGGTGTGAGACCACCAAGGGAATAAGGCTCTCTGAGTATCAGCTTTGAAGGACCCTGGGCACTGTATTGAAGTCTGGCCACACTGAAGCATATGGCTGTGAAGCAGCCCTAGCAGCTAAGTGAATTACACTTATATTTTAGGCAGCAGAGTGGAGCACAAGCTTGGTGGCGTAGAGGGAAGAAGCTGTGCTACAATTCTAAAGGCATATGGTTCAAATGCACCAGCTGTTCCACAGAAGAAGGATGGGCAATCTCATCCCAGGCTATTTCCTGCCTCTGAAAACCCACTGGAGGGTCAGCTATAAACTGCGTCTGACTGGATGGCATACAGCAACATGAGACTTACTAGTGTCTGCCCTAGAATCCAATAGACAAAATTAAACCAGCTCTTTTTTGGCTACATAGCTTGGAGGTCCTGGGCCGGATGTTTAGCCTCCTTGAAGTCTCATGTGTAGCATACCTCTACTCGCTGCCGCGGAGTTGGAAATGACTCAGAGCTGAACCTCCAGTGGGTTTCCAGAGGCTGTAAATCAGACAAAAGGAGATTGTCCATCTTTCGCCTGTCTGATTTACAGTCTTGAGTTAGAGGGTCACCTATGAGTTATTTCAAACCACCTGCCTTTGGGTTGGCAGCACAATTCCTTACCCACTAGCCCACTAGTGTCCCATAGCATTGCTTGTGAGTAAGAACACTCTCCTATGAATTTATGACTCCAATCATGAGATGGTTGTGATGCTAAAGTCTGAGGCTGCAACTCCATTTTGAATGAAAAGTAGCTGCTGTCTCAGAAATGGAGACTGTAATTTCTGTAACTTTCCACTGTACCCTGGGGAAATGACTTGGTAAACAATTTCAGAAAACAATGTGATTTTGTTTGCTACCAGGCTTTACTTACTAAGAGGCCAGGGCTGAAAAATATTCTTAGATGCTCAAAATACACTTTAGAAGAGCCCGTGTGAAAAAATAAGGTATACAAACTTTGTAAGTAGATGAGTATAAATAAAATTTTATTTAAATAAAAAAAAATACCCTTTAGCACCTCAACGAGAATAAGGTAAACAATCCAATAGCAAAATGGACACAGTATAGGAATAGATACTTCACTAAAGAAGACTTTCAGATGGCAAACATGTGAAGAAATGTTCAAAATTCCTAGCTATCAGACAGATGCAATTAAAATAACTATCATCCCAGTAAGGATAGCAAAATTTAACAGAAAAGCAAACAACAAATGCTGGTGAGGTTGCAGAGAAACTGGAACCCTTATTCACTGTTGGTGGGAGTGTAAAATGGTGCAAACACCCTGGAAGGCCGTATGGCGCTTTCTCAAAAAGTTGGAAATAGAAATACCATTTGACTCAGCCATATCACTTCTGGGAATACACCCTGAAGAAACCAGAACAGCCATCCAAACAGATGTATGATCACCCAAGTTTACTGCAGGGTTAGTTACAAATGCAGAGATGGAAGGAAACAAAAAGCCCCTCAACAAATGAATGGATCAAAAAATTATGATATATTCACATGCTGGAATACTACGCAGCACTGAAAAACAATGACTTTGTAAAAACATGACAACATGGGGGACTCTGGAGTACTTCACGCTGAGTGAAATATTTCAGTCACAAAAGGACAAATACTGCATAGCACCACTGTTACAAAGCAGGTCTGACATGGGAGGTTGGGAGGAGAATAGGGTAAGAGTGGATAGACAATGACCACTGCATTGGAACAGATGAAAGAAATAATTACCTAGAATGAATATGTGATTAGGTATTATATGTATGACAACAGCTCAGAATAAGAGGTATATCACTGTAAAGAGGACTGGGGGGTTGGGGGGGAAAGGAAGGTAATTGTGCAACAATGAATGAATATTTTTTAAAAAAGTAAATTGGGGGAGGGGGAAGAGAGGAGAAAGGGTAAATGTGCAACAATAAGTAAATGAAAATCTAACTTCTCTGTAAATTTTTGTTAAAATCACAATTAAAATAAAATTTTAATAAAAGGCATCTTTTCAAATAATACTTAGACTGTATCTTTTAGGATATTCATATAACAATAAAACAGACAATAATATTTTTTAAAGATACATTTTAGAACTATGTGTGTCTTCCTTGGAGTCAAGCCAGCAGGGTCTCAAGACTGTTTTGAATAATTAGGAATGTAAAAAGGAAAAAAAAAAGCTAGAAATTTTAGAAGTATGTAATCTCCTCCCAATTTAATGCATCAACACCCATATTTATAACTGTTACTAAATATCAACCAATCACTGAATTGTCCTGAAGAGTTTTTCTTTCATAAATATATCAAGAATTCATTTATTGGAGAATGAAATTATAGCTCTATACATTTAAGGATCATTTTCATTTATAATTTCTGTTAACCCACACATCTATGAAACCTAAAAATCAACTAATGCTATTACATTAATACAGAAACTTTCCTCATATCATTAAAATGAGTAAAATATAAATGCTCGGCATAAACTACTGTGGCAAAAAGTAAGCTACTGACCACAGGAACTCCTTATGACCTAGCTATTCCACTACTAGGAATATATACCAAGGAGATTAGAACTGAGACACAAACAGAGGTTTGCACACCAATGTTCATGACAGCATTATTCACCATCACAAGAACATGGAAACAGCCTATCAACAAATGGATTGAAAAACTATAGCAAATTCATACGATAGAACTACACAATATTAGAGCAACGATTTTGAAAAAAATACTTCATAACTTGAGAGAGACTGGAGAGTATTATAAGTGAACTTGGTCTCCTAAGAACAAATACTGCCTAAGACCATTATTGTAAAAATAGAAGGATAACTAGTAAAACATAAATGGGGAACAAGGTGGCTTGGGGTGGGAGCAGAGGGGTGAGGATGGGCAGAGGCACAATACTAGGGTTGCACAATTTTGGTGGGGGGGGATAAAGGAAATGGGAAAGATCTGGCGGGGATAGTTCAATGGTCTATCAATTAGTCCAATGGATTAATTTTATAAAACATAATGAATGGGAAAGATTGTATGAAACACAATGTGAATGTAGAACAAAACAATGTATATGAACTTTGTAAACAAATCAATATAAAAAACATTTTTTAAAGTAAGCTACTTAACCACCCTTCTGAGAGTTTATCACTCTGACTCTGTGAAAGCACAGATTGTTAGAGATTTGGGATCCTGCTAACATAGAAATAAGGCTTGAGTATTTCAGAAAATCCATCAAAAAATGAATGGATATGTGAGCTTGTACTCAAATTGAAAAAGGAAATTTCACCCAATTCATAGTCCAGATAAATCCCTATCCCTCGAGGTTTTATTGTTAACTTGGGTGGGACTGAACCAGAGTCTTATGAAACATACATATCATTGCAAAATTGAATAGTCCAGTATCCATTCTGCCCCGTTAAGTTTAGATTATCCTTCCTGAAAAGAGATTTTGCACAAACCCCCGCCATCCATTTAGGCTTGTCCTTCACTCTGAATTCCCATTACTATGTGCCTGAATTGAAGGCTTCAGATCCCTGGATCAGGCAGAAAGTGCCAAATCTCTTCGGAGTAGGAAGACGTATTTCCTTTTCCATCACAAATGTCATAGACTTTTTGTCTTCAGATACAGGAAGGTTGGGATGTGCTGTTTTGGGATCCAGAGTCACATCTCTTTCAAAACCCTTTTTCATTTTCTTCAGAGGCTTGTACAACAGGGAAAGCAAGACTCCTTCCTCCCTTAAGTGGATGGAAGAGGAAGACGGCGTGCTCTGGCTCTCACACACATCATAGATGCTCTTGATGTCCATCAGTCATTTCATATGTCCCTCATCACACTTTTCCCTGCCACTTCCTGTTTTAGACTTTGGCATGTTGAAATAGATTTTGAACATGCCTCTTTATCTCCAGGTATTTTGTGTTGAATATGCTTTTGTTCATCAGCTGACCTGGAGACACAGGCTTGGTGTTGCCATTCTAAAAAGAGCTTCACGTGTTTGCATTCACAGCCTAATTTATGTCACACCCTTGTAATACTCTCACCCACTTGTTTTCATTTCTCCTCTTGAGTGGCACGGAAGTTTGCATAGCATCCAATTGATTCCTCAGGAAGATCAAGGGAACTCATGATCCCTTTACTGTGATGAGCGGCAATCTCTTCTAGGGACTTCAGGAGGTGAACCTGGTGGTCCTTCGTGCAGAGGTTACACAGCACCTTGTGGTCGTCCTCAGAGAAAAAGTTCAGGACCCGCTGGTGTTTCTTGCATTGAGATGTCTTTTTTGTTCTCATTTCCACGCTGCTGTGGTAGAACTTGGCTTCATACAATATATTTCTCAGCTGATTGTTGTTCTTTAACATTTTATCTTGACATGGTTATTGGCACAATGGCCAAGAGAACCTGTTTAGGCCTATCCTCCCATGACTGGCGGATCTGGAATCCAGACAGACCAGGCATTTGGCCTCTGCCACCCCCCCTGCTATTGTTGTCAGGATTTTGAGGCATTTTCCTCAGGACAGTTGGGTGGTACAAGTATTCCTCTTATGTGCTATGAGGTTACTGGTCACACCCTGCAGAACGAAGAACAGTGACTCCATTCACAAGTAGCTATGGATCCGGCCCTTTGATGTGATTCTCAGCTAAATCATTTTCTTGGTCAGAAACTAGTTTGGACCTCAAGGTGCCAACCAGTTCCTGGATTGTGCAAGTCTCTGTAGAGGGTCTCTGTGTCCTCCATGGCACTGCTAGCCTGCTCGTCGCTCCTTTCCTTGCTTCAGGATCTGTTTCCCAGATGAGCTCCATGGTCAGTGTCACAGCAGAATGTCCTAAAGTTTCTTGTGGACATTACCTACATGTCAACCAATCACTCAATTTTATTGCCTTGCCTTGTATTTTTTTTTTTTATAAACATTCTTCTCTTTGGATCAATGGGTTCAGAATCCTCTGGACCCTGTGATGTGATTCTTGATTTGCCAATTTCCTTGACCCTGCAGAAGAGTGCTTTACTTTGAATTTCAAGGACACACTGCTACTTTGGTCTAGAATGTTGATCACCCAAAGCCCTTTGTCATCCTGTGATTCCTGACTCCTAGTAACTCCCTAGGACAGAGTAGAACCCCCCCATGGAGTCTCTAAGGATGCAAATCTTTGTGGAAAAAGACTGCCACCTCTTCCTTTTTTTGGAGTGTCTGGGGTGGGGGTGGGGTGTCAAACCTCTGATCTTTTTGGTTATTGCTGTTAGGTGCCATCGAGTACAACTCACAGTGACTCTATGAACAGCTGACCTGAACTCTGCCCTATCCTGTTCCATCTTCAGAACCTCTGAAATACTCAAGCCCACTGCTAAAGTCACTGTGCCAATCTATCTCATTAGGGGGTCTTTGTCTCCTTCACTATCTTTCCAAGTGTGATGTTCCTTTCTGAGGAATAGCCTCGCCTAGCTACATGCCAAAGAATGAAAGACAAAGCTTTGCTATCCTTGCCTATGCTTTCTCAGAAACATCTGTTCTTTTGGCAGTTCATGGGATATTCAGTGTTTTCTCTAGCACCACAACTCAAAGGAATCAATTCTTCTTCTGTCATCCTTAGTCATTGGCCAGCTCTCTGATGCATAGCAGGTGACTGAGAAGACCAGGGCCTGAGTCTGGGTGCAACTTAAACTTACGTCATTGCTCTTCTGCATTTTTGGATAGTCTAACCCAGTATTTAGAACCACTGCATCACCAAGGCTTCTAGAGTTGTTTGTAGAATTAAACAATGGCAAACAGGCAACTGTCCATATAAATATCAGCTGTTGTTTTCCCTGGGTGAGGCAAACAGTCATTTCTTATCCTTTGGAACAATAGTATATATATATATATATAAGGTTGGAGGTTGGAATCTACCAAGGGGTGCTTCAGAAGAAAGTTCTGGCTATCTCCAGCTTAAAAAAGAAAATTGGCCATTGAAAACTTTGTGGAACATAGTTATACTTTGATACGTATTGGATTGCCATGAGTCAGAATCAACTCAAAGCAATTGGTATGTTTACTCTTAGTGATGATGATGATGATGGTCATCACCATCATCACATTCTAAGTATCAAACAGCCAGTACTTAACAATGCCATTCACATATTAGGGTTCAAGGAAAATGTGCTGCAACTAAGTAAATACATTTTGCCTTTCTGTAAGTTTCGAAAAATCAGTTATGATCAAGAAAAGGACAAACGGAACATCAATTGTTGAGAGTGTCATTTCTCCCAGATGCCAACAATTTGGTACTTCTAGGTAAGTAATCTCATTTACTAATGTCTGAGCACAGGGCTTGTGGGAGAAGGAGGTGCAATCTCCTCCGGAGTGATTTACTGCCTGTGAAAACCTGCTGGAGTCCGTTACCACTCCATGGTACATAAGAACAGCAACAAGCACAAGCCCGCTCACCACACCGTGCTTTCCTGGGTCAAAGAACATCCAGGTGCAGCTCGTGAACCAGATGCATTGCAGAGTGAAAGGCAGTCAACTTTGTTTTCTGTTTTTATCATCTCCCCAGGCCTCAAAAGGCCAACAGCTGTGGGAATGCCATACTTAACCTTTTCAACATAATAGCATCTTAAATATTTTAAAAAGGATGCCATATTCAAGGCATAAAAAAGACTGAAGAATAAACAGCATACAGCAATTGACCCATTTACCACAACAAGTCAATAGCATGAAAAGGTAAACGGAAGGAAAGAACGTTCTAGATGAAAAGAGACTGGAGCTCTAACAACTAAATAGCATGTATGGGCTGCATTTGGATCCAGAATTAGAAACAAAACAACAAACCCAAAAGCCCAAACAAAAATACCCCCAAACTGTGAAAAGATATTTGAGATAGAGGAAATCTTTCTTTTTTTGGCGGACTTTTTATTATTATCTTTTTTTTGTGAATAATTACAATGGCATTATTAGTACAATACCCTCACATTGTTAGACTGAAGCACGTTGAAACAAAATGATAGAGAAGTGCTTTACAATACACTTTAGAAACTAACACACACGCACACAAACACCCCCCCCCGCCCCCACTAGTGAGTCAATTGTCAATCCTGATTCGCGATATCCTCCAGGTAGTCAGGTTTCCAAGGCTGAGGATCTTTATGAGAGGGCTTGATTGCCTGACCTTTGTCCTGCAGAGAAGCTGGTGGATTGGAGCCATTCATCTTTCAGTCCATTACTTAACTTACCATGCTCAAGGAAAATAGACAAATTGGATGAAGCCAACAATTTGATACTTGTTGAATATGATAATTTGGTACTAAAATCTATACTTTTGAGTATATTAGAAAACAATATAGTAGCACATTTAATAAAATAAAGCTTACAATAAATATTTGAGTATCCAAGCTTATTCAATTCTCCAGAAGGGGAATTGATGCTTTTGAGCTTTGGTGTTGGAGAAGAGTGCTGAGGGTGTCATGGACTGCTAAGAAAACAAACAGATTCATCCTGGAGATGGTTAAACCGGGCTGTTCCTTGGAGGCAAGGATTCTGAGACAGTCTGACATACTTTAGTCATGTTGTAAGGAGAGACCGGTCCTTGGAGAAAGACATCATGCTTGGGAAGGTGGAAGGCAGGCGCAGGAGGGGAAAACCCTCTGGGAGATGGATTGATTTGGTGACTGGGGCAATCGGGATGAGTGTGTCAGAGACAGTGAGATTGGCACAGGACAGAGCAGCGTTTAGAGCTGTTGTACATAGGGTCGCTATGAGTCACAAGCAACTCGATGGCACATAACAATAACAACAACATCCAAGCTTAATTCCTTGCCCCAATGATCTCTATCCTCTACAGAAATGACTACTAGAAGGCTTTAATGTATATTATCCCCATTTTACCCTTTCTACTTTTGGTATATATTTAGGTATTCCTATGCAATATTGTTTTTTATGTTTCTAAATGTTACATAAAGAATATCAATTGTAAGTGTTCTTCTGTAATGGGGATTTTTTTTTGTTCCACATGATGTGCACATGATTCATGCATACAGCTCCAAAATAGTCTTCTAAAAATATCTTCCATATTCTTTGCTTGAACCAGCAAAAGTCTACATCAGCATCACAGTATCTTGACTATGTCCTTACTGAGAGTATGCTATGCTGTCTTTATCTGTAAGAGGTGGTAAAACTTAACTATTGTTGTTGTTGTTATGTGCCGTCGAGTCATTTGCGACTCATAGCGACCCTATGTACAACAGCCCTAAACCGTGCTCTATCCTGTGACTAAACTATAAGGTTCTATAAATGAAGAGGTCTGTGCAAATCAACCTTTCATTAAGTTAAATGTTAGTAACACTGTTTCCTCTCAAAACTCACTATTCAGAGTTTTTTATTTAAAAATCCCTGTGCACCTCAAAAACTTCTCCAGCAGGATAAAAAGGGAAGCCACAGACTGAGGAAAAAATATTTGGTAATGACATGTCTGATAAGGGACTTATATCTAGAATTTATATAATACTCAAGCACCACAACAAGATAAAGGAAAACAACCCAATTGAAAAATGGACGCAGGATATGAACAGACACTTCACCAAAGAAGACATTTAGATGGCAAACACACACATGGAAAAATGTTCAAAATCCCTAGCTCTAAGAAAGATGCAAATCAAAACAACTATGAGATATCATCTCACCTCAGTAACAATAGCAAAGTTCAACAGAGCAGCAAACAACAAATGCTGGCGAGGTTGTAGAGAAAGTGGAACCCTTATTCACTGTTGGTGGTAAAATGGTGCAACCACTATGGAAAGCAGTATGGCTCTTTCTCAAAAAATTGGAAATAGAAATATCATTTGACCCAGCAATTCCACTACTGGGAATATACCCCAAAGAGACCATAACTGCCACCCAAGCAGATATATACACAGCCCTGTTTATTGCGGCTTTGTTCACAATAGCAAAGAGTTGAAAACAGCCCAAGTGCCCATCAATGAATGAATGGATAGAGATGCTGTGGTATCTTCACATAATGGAATATTATGCTGCACTGAAAAACAAGGAACTCATGAATTATTATACAAAATGGATGACCCTGGAGGATGTTACGCTGAGTGAAATATCTCTGCCACAAAAGGACAAATACTGCAATATGCCACTGTTGCAAAGTGGGACTGACATCAGGGTTGGGGGAAAACTAAGAGGGGATAAATAATGTATGCTACATTGAAACAGATGAAGGAGAGAACTGTTTAAAAGGGATATATGATTAGGTATTTACTGTCATGACAAGAGTTCAGAATGAAAGCTACACAGTGGAGTGGACTTGGAGGGGGGTATTGTGTAACAATGAAAAATTTTTTTTTTACTTTTCAAAAGAGAAAAGTGAACTGGGGGAGGGGTGG